TATACTGGATTTTTTTAAGGGGGGAAAATCATCGAATGACTGCTCCCGCCTGGGTGAGGCGAGAGGGAGTGTCAGACTCTTACCTGAGTAAAAACCACGACGTTCCTTCTCCTGTACGTCGAGCCGGAGCCCCGGTTACCCGTTAGGCTCTTCGCGACATTACTCAAGGATAAGATTGAAAAACTAATAGATATATTTGTCACTATAGAGACTTTGCAAAGTATTTTCAGAAGATATATTTATTAAAGATCCTAATATCCTAGTCTAAATGCCGTAGATATGTATTTATTATTGTCTATAGAATATTCAATATTGTATACTTTCATATGAATACTTTAGATTGTAATATATTATGTATAATGGATGGGTATATAAATGCAGTATAAGTATAAGGACGGAAATATATTTTATATAATTTATATAATACTTTATAAAGCACAACGCTGTGTAGTATAATAACAACCGTTTTAAAGTATAGTTTGTTATAAAATATAGATTGTTATTCCTTTGGAATGACCAATTATCGTCCATGGAAAACTAACTTAAAATTTCAACTTTTATAAAGAGCCTTTTTATGTATATGTAAAACGCCTAGTAATAATAAATATGAAGTGTTAGTATAATGGCTATCATGAGATATACTATTTGTTAGAATATACGGTTAACTCGTAACTGATCGAGGGTGCTCGACTAATTTCAAGTCAAGCTCAGGGCTGATAATCTTGAGCTGCGTACGTGTACGCGCTTAACTGTATGATCATTTCCACTACAATTTTAAATAAATAAAGATACTTTTAGTAAATTGTAGAACGAAAAATGTAAGAACTTATTTAAGTTTTAAGTCACGTATACTAGGGTTAGATTCAAGAGCTTAGAACTGAGTTTTCATTTAAAAAAAAAAAAAATAAGTACATGTACTTCATTATTGAAAATAGTGAAGACACAGGATCAATACTGTATGTAAGCGAAATTATTGTTCGAACATTATGAATTTAAGATATTGGAACATGAAATAACGGTTTACCTACTGCAAGGAATTTTGTAGCTAATACCTACATATTAGATTTGTAATTTTGATTTATACCTACGAGTTAATTTAATGGTATTAGCACTGAAAGTAGTTGATAGTACAAAATATAGCCGACTCTAGTAAATCAGCAGTAAAAGTGTTAATTATTATAGACATGTAATTAAATATGGCGACTAGTTACACCTATACTTATTTTAGTTTTAAAAAATATTACTATGCTATCTTAAATTAAACAAAAGTGATTGATGACTGATGTACGACCAACAAGACGACATTTTCGATTCACTACTGCCATTAAAAAATTAACTACTACAAGAAAAAAATAAAGTTGAATTTACTTTATCATCTAGTTGGCCTGTACTGAACAAATGTTTGATGGAATCTCACAAACAAAACCCGCCTTCAATAAATGTGTCTAAACTATTCTATTAGTTTAGGATGATGGCACTATACTTAAGGCATATATTAGCTACTTCTTCTGCCAGCGGTCCTAGGTCTTCGCTGGCGTGCCCCTAGTAAAAGTGTTATTATTACAGACCACAATCTACCTCTGTTTCAAATTTCATCTCGATCACTTCAGCCGTTTTGACGCGAAGGAGTAATAAACAGGGATGTTATGGACATGAAATTCCGGATACGGATATAGTAATGATTATTATACTGGGTTTTTTTTAAGGGGGGGAAATCATGACTGCTCCCGCCTGGGTGAGGCGAGAGGGAGTGTCAGACTCTTACCAGAGTAAAAACCACTACGTTCCTTCTCCTGTACGTCGAGCCGGAGCCCCGGTAACCCGTTAGGCTCTTCGCGACATTATTATACTGGATATGGTTATGAAATTATTTCGGATTACCCGTTTGTTTCAGATAATTTCGGTTACGGATATTAAAATTTTAAGGAATTACAAAAGTAAAATACAAATAGCTAATATAATGGTTTCATTTATACGTCACGATAGTATTCGAAACTTTTATTTCGGATTCAGTCACGGATAATCTTTTATATCGGATCCGATAGTTTCGGTTACGGTTACGGAGCTCCCCAAGATCCTTTATAATAAACAAACAAACATACAAACTTGTGCCTAGATCTATTTAGGGGTAGACAGAGTAGAACATGACTCTCATTTCGTCAGTTATGAGTCTTATATGATAAAGGGAAATTCCATTCCATTGATATTCTAATTATATGGAATTTCTAATACAAGTCTACCATTTTACGTCGACTTGAGTGAAGTCTTTAACGCTCGAATACTGAAAGGCTACTCAACTTTAAGTTTTACTTATATATCGTGCCATCTCTGTCATTTTACAAAGAATTTGTAGAGACAGAACAATACTTGAATGCGATCTAAAATTGAGTAGCATTTCTGTATTTGGGCGTTAGACTGTGATTGACTATAAGCACACAAATTAATTTTAGCCTACATTTTGTAAGGGAGCTAAAATTGGTAGCTAAGTTAGAAATTTCATTAATAGATTCTCGATTCTATTACTCAAAGATTTTTTTTTAAGGGGCAAAAATCATCGAATGACTGCTCCCGCCTGGGTGAGGCGGGAGGGAGTGTCAGACTATTACTGACTAAAACCCACCCCGTTCCTTCTCCTGCACGTCGAGCCGGAGCCCCGGTTACCTGTTAGGTCCTCCGCGACATTACTCAAGGATAAGATTGAAAAACTAATAGATATATTTGTCACTATCAAGACTTTGCAAAGTATTTTCAGAAGATATATTTTTTAAAGATCCTAATATCCTAGTCTAAATGCCATAGATATGTATTTATTATTGTCTATAGAATATTCAATATTGTATACTTTCATATGAATACTTTAGATTGTAATATATTATGTATAATGGGATGGGTATATAAATGCAGTATAAGTATAAGGACGGAAATATATTTTATATAATTTATATAATACTTTATAAAGCACAACGCTGTGTAGTATATTAACAACCGTTTTAAAGTATAGTTTGTTATCAAATAAC